TGCATATTACTAAGGGAAAGAAATCAATCTGAAAAGGCTACATACCATATGATTCCAACTACATGACATTCTGGAAAAGGCAAAACTATGGAGACAATAAAAAGATCAGTGGTTGCAGGGGATCAGAGAAAAGGGTGGGGTAGGGTGGGGAAGAGATTAATAGGCAGAGAACAAATGATTTTTAGGGCAGAGAAAATACTCCATATGATATTATAATAATGGATGTATGTCATTATATATTTGTACAAACCCAAAGAACGAACAACACTAAGAGAGAACTCTAAGGTAAACTATGCACTTTGGGTGATTATGATGTGTCAATGCAGGTTCATCCTTGGTAAAAAATGTACCATTCTGGTGAGTGATGCTGATAATGGGGGAGGCCATGCATGTGAGGAAGCAGGGGGTTTAGGGGAAATCTTTGTACCTTCCTCTCAACTTTACTGTAAACCTAAAACTGCTCCAAAAAAATAAAATCTTTAATAAGAAATTTTTTAATAGACCCATTAGCATGTACACACAAAAGAATCAGCACCTTTTACCTCGACTGCTTTGATTTTTCTAAATTCAGAACGTCCCAACATGGGCCAAGCTTTACTCTTAACGGAAATATTTCAGGTCTGGAAAAGGCAGGATTCCTCTGCATAATCTTTAAAGGAGACTTTCTGGGAACTAACATGTAGTTTGAATCTTTCATTTTATATAAAACAGTAAACTTGTTTGCGATGGGTGAAAGATATACCTGCTATTTTTAATTTGGGAGAAGGACTATTGTGAGTGAAGGCACATTCTCAGTTTTAGAAAACAGTTCATGTGGAAGTTGAGGATTAGAAAATTGACTCCTTAAAAAGTATTCATGCACTTTTACCTCTTGACATATCTCTGCATACAATATCTTGAAGACTGTTCAACTAATATAATCCTTTGAATAAATCCTTTTTTTTTTCTTTGAAGGTAGCTAGAATCTGTTTCTGTTGCTTACAACCAAAGAAGTTTATCTGCTGATCCTGTATCTAACCTTCTCAGCTTCCCAGAGATCTTTTCAAATACCCATGATAAACAAATGGCAAGCAATAGGATATATTGGAGCATATGAGGAAGGCTTTGGCGTAAAACTAATTCAGCCTGACTGTGTTTTTCCAAAAGGGGCCTGTGGCCTCTGAACATTCATTGTATATCTGCTTTAAGCAATTAACATGTCCCAAAGACAAGAACAAACATTCTTAAGATAGGGATGCAACTTCCCCCACATTGGAATTTCCTTGAGGATAAGCATTTCTCCCTAGGCCAGGATTTGATTGCTGTGCTCATCCTGTGACCGCTCAACTGGAGACAACAGACCTGCCACCAGCCATGCCCATGGAGACAGCAGACCTGCTACCCGCTGTGTAGCATCAATTGCTATGCTGACAGGGCAATCTGGCAGGGCGATCTTGTGACTATTGTAAAAGGGACATTGCAATCATATGTGATACATGCTCTTTGATGGTATATAACCACTCTGTACACCCCACTTCTTTGGTGCCCTTCCTTCCTTAGGGAAGCAAGGCCCCGGGCTATATGGTCCTCAAAATTTGGCTCCTAATAAACTCACCTCGATTTTGGTTTATAGATTGATTATGGATTATTTGCATCGACACCCAGGACTAGGGGTTCTCAGCTCTGCTCTTAACAACCTCGAGCCAAAGCTCAGGATACCAGTCTTTCCTCCACACCCCACATCAAATCTCAGCACAGTTTACTTTCTTTTATTTTTCTGTATTCCTAGGCTTCATTACAAATGTCACCATTTCTTCTTGTCTTTTGCTTTATCTCCTGTTACTATTTCCATTAGATCAATTTATATTTGCTAGTATAAAATACCTGTACTCGAAAGTAACTTCACATACACTCATCACACAAAGGAACTCTGATGCCACAAAGATTATTTTCCATGAAAGCCCTTTCCAAACTGGGGATAAAGAAATACTGTTGTAGGGCTGTTAACAGAAGTTTGGAAGAACTCAAGACTTCTCATAAATGTCTTTAACTTACAGATATATTTCAATGGGTTTCTTTTATACTTTGGGACTTCTCAGAGCCTTAAATGTGCTAAACTGTATTCTAAGTCACCAAGAGGAGCATTTACCATGATGCCTGTTTGACCTTTTGTTCTCCAAGTACCAAATTAGCATCTTTTTGATGTTCCCTGAGACAATTTGGGAACTGGTCTATATGATGGGAAAATGATCAGTCCGTTGACTTTTTTCACTATTTTTAAAAAAAGAAATCGAGTGTTTCTAAGACATGTTGCCTGTCTTCCTAGGCGGCTCATGTAGAACAATGTTTTGAGGAAGAACATCATGTACGTTTTCAGAAGTGACTGAGGTATATGGAGCTGTTTTGCCTTTAGGGTTGGGGACCTGGGGGAAGGGAGGGGTGTAGCTGTGGTAGGACTGAATCTGCTCCAGGTCACTTTCTCTGTCTCTGCTCCTGCAGCACCTCTTACCTCTTTGCATTGCTGTTCACGGTCTCAGCTGGTGCCTCCTTCAGCAAAAACTGAAGGTTGCCAGGGTAAATGAGAAACCAAGTACACCTTACGTGTTAATTCAGTTACTTTATGCTATAAGATAGGGAAGGAAACACATGGACCAAGTAAACCACATGGGCTTTGTGACATAATTGGAACTGAGCTCAAAGACTTTGCTTTATGTCCAGGTTGAATGAATCTTAATGATTGTAGAAGGCTGAGGAATGACTGTAATTAAAAATCAATATTCATAACAGCTCCTGAAGACCTTTCCTCCAAGCAGCTGACTGCACTGGAAGCTCCCTGTGGAGCAGACAGGAAGCAGGTATTTTGGTTTCCGTTCTAGATGAGTTAACTAAAACTGGCTTTGTGCTGTGGCAGCATTAGCAAAATTGTGTATATAGGCTTATGTGCTTATTAATTATTTAATCAAGTTAGTAATTCAGGACATGATTTCTACTCACAAGTATTGCATGCATTTGGGGAAAAGGGAAGAAGAGGCATTGTCTGTGCCTCTACTAACATCCCAGAGGGAAAAATGTTTTTAATTGTCAGAAACATGTTAGAACTGTAAAAAGCACATGAAGTCAGTCATTTGAGTAGTAAGTGATAGTTCTATTTGTTCTGTAACACTAGTAAAAAAGATAATTTTTTTCCCAAAAAGATAGAAAAATATAAACAAAAACTGAATATTTTGATGCAACTCATTTGACAATGCCATTTCAACAGCAGCGGGGTTTATGACTCAATTTCCAAGCAATCCTTCCCCTCCTTCCCCCACAAGCTTGCTACGTTTGTTATGCCCATGGCTTTTCTCACCATCTCATTCAGCCCAGTCCTGCGCCACCCCTGACTGGAGTATTAAAGTACCTGATAATATAGGGTTAATAAGAAACTCACTCAGTTTAAGCAGCTGACTATGAGAAACTGCCCCCTAAGGGCTGCTGCCACTAGAAACTTGGTTAGGAAGAACTCCATGTATGAGTTATCTCACATTCGAGAAAGTTTCTTTTAACCTTAGAAGTTCTACAGGTAGGCAGCAATACCACTAAGTTAAATACTCTGAGTATTTAATACCCATGCTCTGAGAGCCATGTAACATACTAGGTGATGACTCTGAATTTCAATTTCCAAAGTGAAGGTTTCCAATGTATCAGCTAGTCCCTAATTAATAATGAAAGCATTCACGGGCTGGCCCCGTGGCTTAGCAGTTAAGTGCACGCGCTCCGCTACTGGCGGCCCGGGTTCAGATCCTGGGCGCGCACCGACGCACCGCTTCTCTGGCCATGCTGAGGCCATGTCCCACATACAGCAACTAGAAGGATGTGCAACTATGACATACAACTATCTACTGGGGCTTTGGGGAAAAAAAGGAGGAGGATTGGCAATAGATGT